GCAGGTCCTGTGCGCGCTGCTCGAGCATTGGAAATGCGGATGGTCATCACCTTTGATGCGCTACCGTCGTTGGTCACGCAGTTACCTACGAGAAGCAGCCAGCTTCAGCTAATTCCTGACCGTCTAATTTCCGAACAGAACTCGGCGACACCCATTCTTGTAGCATCACTTTGAAGCTGCGAAGCACATGCCGAACGGAGCGACGGAACTTGCTAATCTGTCAAGTGCTCTTTGCGCATCATCCATAGATTCGAACAAGCAAACGATGTCGTCAGCGTATTCCAAATCGCACAGCTTTTCTCCAGCTACCTACATTTTGGAGACCACTTAGTGTGTTTTCCAGTATTCCGTCTATAACGAAATTTAACAGGAATGACGAAATAGGGCACCCTTGACGAACACGGCTGCCAGTTACGAACGACCTACTCAGTTCGCCGTAGACTCTTATGCAACCAAAAGTATGCGCGTAGAGTGAACTTAGTATGTTCACGTACTTCTGCGGCATTCCTTTGCAAAGGAGCGAACCCGTAAGGGATTCACGATCAACTGAGTTGAAGACTCTTTTTAGGTCAAGGAACACGACAACCGTTGGTCGATGGTGCGTATGACGTAGCTCGAGGACTTGACGCAGAGTGAAGATTTGGTCGATACAACCGCGACCTGGTCGAAATCCTGCTTGTTGTTCGCGGATATTTGCCTCCCTAAACCGTGTCAGACGTCGAAGTATGATGGAAGCTAGTAACTTGGTGACAACTGGGATCAAACACATTCCACGGTGGTTTGCGCAGTCGTTGCGAGATCCTTTCTTGAAAATTGGAACAATCAGTGATTCGCCCCAAGTTGACGGAATGTGCTCGTGTGAAATGTTACGCATTAAATCAGTAATGGAGTCTACCCTCATCAATAAAACTCGCTATCTCTACAAAAGCATGAAATCAATGAATGCACACATGATCTAATTGGGTAAGAATTTTTGACGCGAACGAATAGGGAAATAGCGCGCGCAATAACCCATCTGATCACATGCATATTTCATCTTTATAACTATCTTCTTCCAACCAACCACAGACTGATTGTGCGCGCTTCTAGGAACACAGTCGCATCAATAAGCCTGTGTACCACAGACTCCAAATTATATCAATTATTTTACGCTCAAAATGAAATCAATACAAGGAACGAAAGACAAACTAATTTAGGATGTTTTCATGAAGACAAGAAGCATCATGAGCACAGCAGAATGTGTTGAATTCAACTATTTCTTGGTGAACACGATTTCAGGGGAACAACTGTTTTCAATAACTCATAATCATGCCGTTACAGTTTATGAGGGGAAAATCCTAGTTCGTGGTGACCTCATCAGCTGTGTACACATACACTCAGATCACGTTGGGTTAAAAGAGTGTCAGGTTTGGGGATAGGCGAACACATACAGGGAGGAGAAATCAATCAATATGATGGTCAAGGGTCACTAATATGAACCGGATTGGGCCGGGCGCAGAACTACTGTAGGGTGGCGGGACGAGGACAGTGACATTTACCAGGGCAGTGAGAGGCTAGCCATGAATTCCATCTGTTTAGATAAATCGGGCTTGTAACGTCCAATGGCAGCCGCTTCAGCGAAACATGGTAGACGGCGATCTTTCGAGTGGATCAAGACACGAAAGGCGTCCCTAGGTTTATCACATTCTTTGCAGTCCAGTATGTTGGGCGCTTGAACCCGTTAGAAGCCAAATTCTTCGATGCATGCTTTGCTATCCTAGTGGGGAATCGTCTATCAGTTCTTCCGATGTACTTCCTACCGCAAGTACATTGAAATAGGTGACTGAAGAGCCGGATTTATTTAGATTAGATACAATCAGCATTCGCCTCGTGTCGTGTAGTGGTATTAGGGAGGCAGAAATGTAAGTTCGTCTCATCGTTTGTTTCAACCTACGCTGTACCCGGCTTTCATTTTGATCACCTCGAAACGGTATGGTGACAAAAACAGCTTTTTGGGGGCGGTGTCACTTTGTTCTAGTCTATTCAACGACGCTCCATGCACTGAAATAAACGTTTCAGGGTATCCGTTTCCGTGTAGTGCCGTGGATATGCAGTGAACATCGAACTGTGTGTAACGTTTCACTGGAGCAGATTATCCTGGCTCTAGAGAATAAACTGTGCGCCAACAATCGTTTGTATTGTATTGGACAAAAACTTCCAAAATTAAGATACTGTCCCGTCCATGTCGGCTTGTGAAATACGGATCTGATGAGAGATCCGTCTTCTGTTCTCGTCGATTTGATATCCAGGAACTGGAAGGAAGATGCGGATTCGTGCTTCATCGTGAATTGAATAATCGGGTGTGAACAGTTCGAGTTTTCTAAGCATTACTTGTGCTTGTGCGCTGTCAATCAATAATGACAAATGTTCTGGTTTATTCAACGGCGCTCCGTACTTTGGAATAAACTTTTTAGGGTATCCATTTCCAAGTAGTGCCGTGGATCTGCAGTGAACATCGAACTCTACCGTTTCATTGGAGCAGATTATTCTGACTAATTGATTTCTCTTCCCCGTGTGTTTGCCTATCCCCAAACCTGTCAATCTTTTAACCAAATGTAATCTGAATATATGTACACAGATGATGAGATTACCACACAATAGTTGAATTCAACACACATCCTGTGATCATCATGCTCCTTATTGCCCTCACGAAAATGATAAAGGGAACTACTTGCATGAAAAATCATCTAGGATGGTCTCAATAGGCACAGACTTTCAACACTACTGAACAGTTAAGTATGAGTAGTATCTGAATGTCTGAAAAGAATTTTTCCTGGAACCGGATACGCGATCTACGCAGCAAACCACGTATGCATATCTGATGTATTTCATAGTCCGGACAAGCACAATAGATGAGCGACAATGAACGCAAATAGTGTCCGATTTTCCAGGGAAATTTCGGGTTCATCATTAATATTGTACCTCTTGAAAACAGTTGCAAGTTTCGAGTTTGAACATGCAGATTATTAGGATGCAACCCACGAAAATCGCAAATCAACGCTGATTAACAAGCACTATTCGAGGGCAGTGTTCGCACTAATACGCCCTGAATGGCATACTTCAATTTAAATACAGAGGGGATTGAGTGTTCGACACAAGTTGGGATTCACCAGCGGTGCGTACTAGTTATTCGCTCATTCGGAATCGAGCCTCGAGCCATCGGGTTGGAATCTCCTGACATGACCACCACTCAGCAGCGTAGAGCTATATGCACGGGATCAGAAAGTAATTTTTAATCGAAACAAAATCACGCAAACCGTGACGGCCGTGAATTTGCACTGTCATCGCTTAGCAGTGCAGAAGGTTAAGATACCGGTAGTCGAACGAACTAAACCTCAGCTGATCATATGGATTACTACCGCTAATGAAGAGATTCGACAACTCACTCCGGTTTTTACAACCATTAACCAAACACTTTCTTGTGCCTGTTCTAGTTGGTCTCTGAGCAACCTATTTGGAGAATAGAGCAAGGTTGGAATGGTGAGAGCAGTCAACCACAAGACGGTGAAGTCTTAGAGACAACAACGAGTAGATGAATCCGTCACCCAACCGCTTCAAAGCAGCCCCTTGCATTACTCATATGCAGCGGAAATCACCGCAGTGCAGCAATATTATCCACGTCTTATTTCGGTTTACACTAACACCTGGCCAAATAACATCCCTAGGCTGATGGCACCGTTTGTTAGAATATGCAACCCTGGTTGATCGATCATGAGAACCCATTATTACAATGAGCTGATACCCAGACATCACTTATAGCATCGTGGTTCTGGAAGGGCGCTGAGAAAATGTTTCTATGCTCCTTACTGGCAATCGTCAGTACCTAAACGAGTTCCTGTGCTTGTCATCACTATACAAGACATTCAGTCTGCGGAACGTCAAACATGACCCTTAGAGATGTGGGAAGCAGATAGACACATTACCTTATGGAGAACATCACTTTGTATTGATGGGAAATTGCCCACAGTTCACAGCACCGTAACAGAGTCGCGTGTCCGTTTGGCCGTTCCTTCCCTGAACTCACGCTGGAATGCCGAATCCGTCAGGTACCCTAGGGTGGGCGGTATTCCACAAACAATGGAATGACCAATAAGCTATTTGGATTCTGTACTGTGATTTGTTTGTCAAGCGGATCAGAATCAGACAAGCGTGAATTGCATCGAGAGCGGTAAACCGAGTTAGGGCTGTTGCCAAGACTGGCAGGAACATGGGGCGCCCATTTGTAACAAACCAAGATTTTGATTAATTTCGTTCGCATTTCATTTACCGTTATTTGAACTGGATAAGCTGTTATTTACATACCCGAAGTATGCCACACGTATTCCAGATGGGACCTTTCGGTCATAACAAGCTGGAAGAAGAGGAACACTAACCGCAAGGCTGTCGTCAGCGCGGATTCTTAACCCCCACCACTCAATAGAGCAAAGTAGACAAACTATTCTTCCGCCGAAATATGACGCACGGACAATGCAAGCCGACCCCAAGATCAAGGACGCGAAGGAAGCTATGTAGCCTGTCATGTGGGTTCGGGGAATGAGTATTCGAAGTGCCTAGATGCCATCGGGGGCACGGGGATCGCACAACACAGCGGACAAAGGATGAAACCGAAGAGTACAAGAGACGAGAAATGAATTCGTTCATTCACAGAGTTCACACATCAACTGTGGAAACGAGGACAGGTAGCAAAATGTCCGTCGGTAGAGAAACTTGTAATCAACGAATTGGCAGTTGATGATTGATGATACGAAACTCCGCGGAGCAATCAGGTCATTTGGACCAAGAATCTGATATGGCCAGATAAACGGATTCGGAAAACCGTAACTCATGCTCAGAAACAAAGCACGTGGATTGGGAAAATGGGACTAGACATCGGTCAAGACTGAGATGATCAAATGAGGGTAAGCGTATCGGGTTTCTAAATGGCGGAAAATTAAAAAAATAACAGTGGAGACCGCTCGGGTTTATGGCTTTGATAGCGTTGCAATGGCTTTGGCCGCAGCAGCGGTGCCTGCCGTGGTGGCTTGCCGAACAGCTGCTGAGACTGGAGCAGCCGCGGATTTCCCAGTTGACGGCGCGGATTTTGTGGACGGATAACTGTGTTGTGAGGGCGAGAGAAGAGTGTCGATCATAGCTACAGCGTACTTTAGTCGGTCAGCCAAATCCAGAATGATGCCACCTTTACTCAACATATTGAACTGGTAAGTCTTGAAATCTCGGTTCGAGTCTATGTAAGTGACTGCGCGCATCAGGGGGCATAGGATGATCTTCGCATGGTCCTCGAAGAAATTAATCTTGATTGAGAGTGAAGAAGAGAGAACAGAAATCAGTTCACTAGATAGAATCAACCAACAGCTTCGATAATCAAACGAGCACTGTACAGGGGAGAGGGGCTTATTATCTCTTTCTCGATCGTCGAATTCAAAAAAAATCCCAAGGGAAAAAACGCGAAAGATAAAACTCGACGCACAAATACATTATTCAGTTGCGCAAATCATATATCAGCACATTACTGAAAAACTTCCGCTATCAATAGGATACTGATGCACAAAATTCCAGGAAAGCAATCCTATTTCAAAATTACGAGGAACTAGGACACTCGGGTCAAAACTGTACTTGAAGTGCAAAGAATCAGAATGTACCAAACAAGAACACACGAACCACCGCTTCCATAAATTACTCGATCTGTACAAAATGCGGGGGAGACAAACTGATCGGATAAACAACATTACCCATGCACACACTGTAAACCCGAATCGGAAAACCCGTGAAAGAAACTACTACCGAAGTGATTCAACGAATATCGGTCTCATCACAAAAATCCCTTGATGAGCAGCCATCAGCACCGGAATGAATCGGGTGATTAAGGTACCATCAATGGACCTCCCGGAAATCCACTCTGATTGAACGTTCGTAAAATCTTGCTTTTACCTACTAAACCGGATCCTGAACAGTAATTTCTCAAATCATCATTAAAAGCCCCATGCCGCATATATTCATATACTATATATGTATATA